GAGAAACTGGGAGAGAAGTCAGAATAAGAAAGGGGACGTAAGAGAGGCAGAGAAAGATAAATGATAGACGTGTGAGAAAGAGTGATAATGGATGAACATAATAGAGGATAAATGGAGAGCGGAAATGAGATAATAGGAGGAATGATTAATGTGAAAAAAGTGGAATAAGGAATAAAGAAAAAGAAGCGAAATATGAGAGATAATTGAAAGAATGATGGCATGAGCCAGCAAGGCTGAGAATCATTCGTGTCATCAACTATAGTTGATAGTTATCAATCATCAGGGGGGTCATCAGCCATCAGGGGGGTCATCAGCCATCAGGGGGTCATCAGCCATCAGGGGGGTCATCAGCCATCAGGGGGTATCATCAGCCATCAGGGGGTATCATCAGCCATCAGGGGGTAATCGGCCATCAGGGGGGGGTCATCAGCTATCAGGGAGGTCATCAGTCATCAGGGGGATCATCAGCCATCAGGGGGGGTCATCAGGGGGGTCATCAATTATCAACCCTGAATCAGGGTCTTCTCTGGCCCTGAGGTAGACGTGTTCAATGTGTTAACCAGCCAACTCTTCAGTCTTAGTGTCCCGCCGTCAGTCATGTCCTCGTAGCCTCGTCTAGTGACGCAGGTTACCTCACTACCATCTACCTTCAAATCAACGTATGGAACGTAGCTTTTCTTACATTTCTCGTTTTTTATTGATGATTTTTGCCTCCTCCATTAGCTTTTCTCTACATTGGTTTCGTTTTCTTTGTTTGGATTATGCATTAACGTTATTATATTAACAGTTGTTAGTTTTTTCACGCATTTTACCTCGTCTTATGAGATTTAATTTTCCTTCAAACTTTTAAACTTTTGTCCAAAATTTTGTTCTCGTTTCAGTCCATAGTCCTGTTGGTACTCCAGGAGTGAAGGTTTTCTCTCAGTCCATAGTCCTGTTGGTACTCCAGGAGTGAGGGGTTCATCTCGGTCCATAGGGCTGTTGGTACGCCAGGAGTGAGGGTTTCATCTCAGTCCATAGTCCTGTTGGTACGCCAGGAGTGAGGGTTTCATCTCGGTCCATAGTCCTGTTGGTACTCCAGGAGTGAGGGTTTCATCTCAGTCCATAGTCCTGTTGGTACGCCAGGAGTGAGGGTTTCATCTCGGTCCATAGTCCTGTTGGTACTCCAGAAGTGAGGGTTTCACCTCAGTCCATAGTCCTGTTGGTACACCAGGAGTTCCGCCAAGTCATAAATTTTTTTCACTCGAGTTAGTTAGCTGTTTACAGAGCATTTTAACTGCGAGTGATCGACACACGTTTATTCAGTGACAGTCGTTCATTATGACTTGAATTTATTGAAGGGTAAGAGAACAGATGTACTATGGAAGCTTCTGAGGCTGTAGAGAGGGAGGTAAATCAAGCTGGTAAATCAAGTGGTTAACTTTAGAAAGCTGGTAAATCAAGCGGCTAACTTTAGAAAGCTGGTAAATCAAGCGGCTAAGTTTAGAAAGCTGGTAAATCAAGCGGCTAACTTTAGAAAGCTGGTAAATCAAGCGGCTAACTTTAGAAAGCTGGTAAATCAAGCGGCTAACTTTAGAAAGCTGGTAAATCAAGCGGCTAACTTTAGAAAGCTGGTAAATCAAGCGGCTAACTTTAGAAAGCTGGTAAATCAAGCGGCTAACTTTAGAAAGCTGGTAAATCAAGCCACTAACTTTAGAAAGCTGGTAAATCAAGCGGCTAACTTTAGAAAGCTGTTAAATCAAGCGGCTAACTTTAGAAAGCTGGTAAATCAAGCGGCTAACTTTAGAAAGCTGGTAAATCAAGCGGCTAACTTTAGAAAGCTGGTAAATCAAGCCACTAACTTTAGAAAGCTGGTAAATCAAGCATGAGAGGTGTGTTTCTGGTGTAGTGTATCTGTGTATTGAGGTGTTCTAAAGCACTTGCTGTGTTACATCCTGGTGTTGAGAATGCGTTACAGCTGAGGGATGAGTGTCTTCCAGCTGGGTGGCTGTGATACAGCTGGGGGCTGAGTGTGTCAACTGGGGGCCGAGTGTGTTGCAGCTGGGGGCCGAGTGTGTCACAGCTGGGGGCTGAGTTTGTCACAGCTGGGGGCTGAGTTTGTCACAGCTGGGGGCTGAGTTTGTCACAGCTGGGGGCTGAGTGTCACAGCTGGGGGCTGAGTTTCACAGCAGAGGGCTGAGTGTCACAGCTGGGGGCTGAGTGTCACAGCTGCAGACTGAGCCGGTCAATCAAGCTGGGGCTGGTCAGAGCAGGGCTGAGTGTCAGACCTGGGGCTGAATGTCACAGCTGGGTGTTTCTGGTGTCAGAGCACGGGTGTGGTCAGAGCAGAGGTGAGTTCAGCTGGTGTCTGAGTGTCACAGCTGGGGCTGAGTGTCACAGCTGGGGGCTGAGTCACAGCTGGGGGCTGATGTGTCAAGCTGGGGGCTGAGTGTCACGCTGGGGCTGAGTGGTCACAGCTGGGGCTGAGTTGTCACGCTGGGGCTGAGTGTCACAGCTGGGGGCTGAGTGTCACAGCTGGGGGCTGAGTGTCACAGCTGGGGCTGAGTGTCACAGCTGGGGCTGAGTGTCACAGCTGGGGGCTGAGTGTCAAGCTGAGGGCTGAGGTCAGAGCTGGGGGCTGAGTGTCAGAGCAGGGGCTAGTGTCAGAGCTGGGGCTGATGTCACAGCTGGGGCTGAGTTTCAAGCAGAGGGCTGAGTGTCACAGCTGGGGGCTGAGTGTCAGAGCAGAGGGCTGAGTTCACAGCAGGGGCTGAGTGTCACATCTGGGGCTGAGTGTCACAGCTGGGGGCTGAGTGTCACAGCTGGGGGCTGAGTGTCACAGCTGGGGGCTGAGTGTCACAGCTGGGGCTGAGTGTCACAGCTGGGGCTGAGTGTCACAGCTGGGGGCTGAGTGTCACAGCTGGGGGCTGAGTGTCACAGCTGGGGCTGAGTGTCCAGCGTGGGGCTGAGTGTCACAGCATGGGGGCTGAGTGTACAGCTGGGACGGTGAGTGTCAGAGCGGGGGCTGAGTGTCAGAGCTGGGGGCTGAGTGTCAGAGCTGGGGCTGAGTGTCACAGCTGGGGGCTGAGTTTCACAGCAGAGGGCTGAGTGTCACAGCTGGGGGCTGAGTGTCACAGCAGAGGGCTGAGTTTCACAGCAGAGGGCTGAGTGTCACAGCTGGGGGCTGAGTGTCACAGCTGGGGGCTGAGTGTCCAGCTGGGGGCTGAGTGTCACAGCTGGGGGCTGAGCGTCACAGCTGGGGGCTGAGCGTCACAGCTGGGGGCTGAGTGTCACAGCTGGGGGCTGAGCGTCACAGCTGGGGGCTGAGTGTCACAGCTGGGGGCTGAGTGTCACAGCTGGGGGCTGAGTGTCACAGCTGGGGCTGAGTGTCACAGCTGGGGGCTGAGTGTCACAGCTGGGGGCTGAGTGTCAGAGCAGAGGGCTGAGTGTCAGAGCTGGGGCTGAGTGTCACAGCTGGGGGCTGAGTGTCACAGCTGGGGGCTGAGTGTCACAGCTGGGGGCTGAGTGGGTCACAGCTGGGGGCTGAGTGTCAGCGAGGGGCTGAGTGTCAGAGCTGGGGCTGAGTGTCACAGCTGGGGGCTGAGTGTCACAGCTGGGGGCTGAGTTTCACAGCAGAGGGCTGAGTGTCACAGCTGGGGGCTGAGTGTCACAGCTGGGGGCTGAGTGTCTCAGCTGGGGGCTGAGTGTCACAGCTGGGGGCTGAGTGTCACAGCTGGGGGCTGAGTGTCACAGCTGGGGGCTGAGTGTCACAGCTGGGGGCTGAGTGTCACAGCTGGGGGCTGAGTGTCACAGCTGGGGGCTGAGTGTCACAGCTGGGGCTGAGTGTCACAGCTGGGGGCTGAGTGTCACAGCTGGGGGCTGAGTGTCACAGCTGGGGGCTGAGTGTCACAGCTGGGGGCTGAGTGTCACAGCTGGGGGCTGAGTGTCACAGCTGGGGGCTGAGTTGTCACAGCTGGGGGCTGAGTGTCACAGCTGGGGGCTGAGCTGTCACAGCTGGGGGCTGAGCGTCACAGCTGGGGGCTGAGTGTCTTGGTTTATTCTTATTTTTGGAAAAGTTTAAAAACTCAAGTTGTTTCTCAGTCTTTGATTCTTTCATAATGTTCATGTTTATCGACGTCTCTCTCTCTCACCCCCTCCTCCTCTCTCTCACACGCTCCTCTCTCTCTCACACGCTCCTCTCTCTCTCTTCTCTCTCCTCTCTCTCTCTCTCACCTCTCCTCTCTCTCTCTCTCTCTCTCTCTCCACCTCCTCTCTCTCTCCCCCTCCTCTCTCTCTCCTCCTCTCTCACCCCTCCTCTCTCTCTCTCCTCCCCTCCTCTCTCTTCTCTCCCCTTCCTCTCTCTCTCTCCCCCCTCCTCTCTCTCTCTCTCTCCCCTCCTCTCTCTCCTCTCCTCTCTCTCTCTCTCTCTCTCTCTCTCCCCTCCTCTCTCTCACCCCTCCACTCTCTCACCCCCTCCTCTCTCTCTCCCCCTCCTCTCTCCCCCCTCCTCTCTCTCTCTCTCCCCCTCCTCTCTCTCTCCCCTCTCCTATCCACCCATCACCCTCTTTCCCCTGCCTATCTTCTCCCCCCCACACACGCAACACCCCCCCTCTCCCCCTCCAACACTGACCCAGCTTAAACACTAGATCACAAAGCTTAGTCAGTTCCGCTACTTCATTACAAGCTTGGTTTGACGCTTACACGTGAGCTAGTAAAGGGGATGCAGTGTTAGCCAGTGTTTTATACTCACCATTCTCACGGCAGCACAAACTAGTCCATTCTGGCACCTTCACCTGTCAAACGTTCACATTTTAACGCTTTATGGTTTCTTTAACTACCTCGCTGCCAGACGTATCACTGCTACATTTTTGTTATTTGCACTAAAATATTTTTTTGCCGCTTTAACCTAACCTAAATTTACTTCAAAACAGATATTAACTCGTAAAAATTTTATATAATTTCTTTATATAAAGAGGATCACTTACTTAATTTAAATTAATGTTTCTCTTCCTTATAGCGGGCGTGTGTGTGGGCGTGTGGGCGTGGCGGGTGGGTGCACGTCATGAGGGGGCCGCCCACACCCACCCCTGAAAACGGCGATGTCCTCCAGTGAGAGTGGCGGCCCTGACGCGGGTCCTGCCCTCATACGCATCAGCACTACGCAGATACACACTCAGGTATGCTCTTATACACATACACAGGTATACCCTATACATCTACACACACACACACACACGTGCGCACACACACACTCGACCCCTGCAACCACATATAGGCGAGAACATTGGTACGCTCTCTCACACACATTTACGTAGATGTAAGATATATCTGTACATCAACTAGGGTTCCTTTAGATTCTAATTACTGAATGCTAGGGTTAGTATTGTTGTAATATCAAAAGTAATCCTTTTCGCCGTCTGTCAGTCGTGAAAATCTCTAAAGCCTTGATTGTAAGCACTGATTTTTTTTTTCTATTTCAACTTATGCTATTGTACAAGGTATGACCTGCCTAACAAGAGGTGGATGTGGCCATGTATCGGTAAGTTGCCTGTGGCATCCGTCCCATCCACCCTCACTTGTAAGTTCAGTTAAGATGTTCTGTCCTACTGGGACACACTGGAGTAGTTGCTCTGTCTCCAGTGACATAACCTCACACTCAGACACTTCTTTCATACAACGTCAAATTTTGGATTTATAATTTGTGCATTATCTTGTACAAAGTTTCAAGAACAGGTACGATAGGGCCCCACGAGGCTAGGAGTGAGTCTGGCAAGCGGCAAATTGAAAGGCGGGCCCAGGAGCTAAGACCCTACCCCTGCAGCTACATATACAGTAGGCGAGTACATACAGGCGAGAAAACACACGTACGTTCTCATGCACATCTATGTGACACACACAAACACACACGTACGCTCTCACATGCTATGTAGATATTACATACATAGGCAGAAGCTATAACTCGACCCCTGCAACCACAACTAGGCGAGTACACAAAGGATATTCGCATCTATCACCATCCCTAGGTAGGTCTCGTGAAGGTCTCATTTAACGCAATCATAGGCGGGTGTTGCTCTGGCCTCGCCCCTGTCTAGATTGTTGCTCTGGCCTCGCCCCTGTCTGGAGTGTTGCTCTGGCCTCGCCCCTGTCTGGAGTGTTGCTCTGGCCTCGCCCCTGTCTGGAGTGTTGCTCTGGCCTCGCCCCTGTCTGGAGTGTTGCTCTGGCCTCGCCCCTGTCTGGAGTGTTGCTCTTTCCTCGCCCCTGTCTGGAGTGTTGCTCTTTCCTCGCCCCTGTCTGGAGTGTTGCTCTTTCCTCGCCCCTGTCTGGAGTGTTGCTCTGGCCTCGCCCCTGTCTGGAGTGTTGCTCTGGCCTCGCCCCTGTCTGGAGTGTTCCTCTGGCCTCGCCCCTGTCTGGAGTGTTGCTCTGGCCTCGCCCCTGACTGGAGTGTTGCTCTGGCCTCGCCCCTGTCTGGGTGTTGCTCTGGCCTCGCCCCTGTCTGGAGTGTTGCTCTGGCCTCGCCCCTGACTGGAGTGTTGCTCTGGCCTCGCCCCTGTCAGGAGTGTTGCTCTGGCCTCGCCCCTGTCTGGAGTGTTGCTCTGGCCTCGCCCCTGTCTGGAGTGTTGCTCTGGCCTCGCCCCTGTCTGGGTGTTGCTCTGGCCTCGCCCCTGTCTGGGGTGTTGCTCTGGCCTCGCCGCTGTCTGGGGTGTTGCTCTGGCCTCGCCCCTGTCTGGGGTGTTGCTCTGGCCTCGCCCCTGTCTGGGGTGTTGCTCTGGCCTCGCCCCTGTCTGGGGTGTTGCTCTGGCCTCGCCCCTGTCTGGGGTGTTGCTCTGGCCTCGCCCCTGTCTGGAGTGTTGCTCTGGCCTCGCCCCTGTCTGGGGTGTTGCTCTGGCCTCGCCCCTGTCTGGGGTGTTGCTCTGGCCTCGCCCCTGTCTGGGGTGTTGCTCTGGCCTCGCCCCTGTCTGGGGTGTTGCTCTGGCCTCGCCGCTGTCTGGGGTGTTGCTCTGGCCTCGCCGCTGTCTGGGGTGTTGCTCTGGCCTCGCCGCTGTCTGGGGTGTTGCTCTGGCCTCGCCGCTGTCTGGGGTGTTGCTCTGGCCTCGCCGCTGTCTGGGGTGTTGCTTGGCTCGCGCTGTCTGGGGTGTTGCCTGGCCTCGCCGCTGTCTGGAGTGTTCTCTGGCCTCGCCGCTGTCTGGGTGTTGCTCTGGCCTCGCCGCTGTCTGGGGTGTTGCTCTGGCCTCGCCGCTGTCTGGGGTGTTGCACTGGGCTCGCCGCTGTCTGGAGCGTTGCACTGGCCTCGCCCCTGTCTGGAGTGTTGCACTGGCCTCGCCCCTGTCTGGAGTGTTGCTCCGGCCTCGCCCCTGTCTGGAGTGTTGCTCCGGCCTCGCCCCTGTCTGGAGTGTTGCTCCGGCCTCGCCCCTGTCTGGGGTGTTGCTCTGGCCTCGCCCCTGTCTGGGGTGTTGCTCCGGCCTCGCCCCTGTCTGGGGTGTGTTTCCGGCCTCGCCCCTGTCTGGGGTGTTGCTCGGCCTCGCCCCTGTCTGGGTGTTGCTCCTGGGCCTCGCCCCTGTCTGGGTGTTGCTCCGGCCTCGCCCCTGTCTGGAGTGTTGCTCCGGCCTCGCCCCTGTCTGGAGTGTTGCTCCGGCCTCGCCCCTGTCTGGAGTGTTGCTCCGGCCTCGCCCCTGTCTGGGGCGTTGCTCCGGCCTCGCCCCTGTCTGGGGCGTTGCTCCGGCCTCGCCCCTGTCTGGGGCGTTGCTCCGGCCTCGCCCCTGTCTGGGGCGTTGCTCGGCCTCGCCCTGTCTGGGGTGTTGCTCTGGCCTCGCCCCTGTCCTGGGGCGTTGCTCGGCCTCGCCCTGCTCTGGGGGTGGGTTGCTCTGGCCTCGCCCCTGTCCTGGGGCGTTGCTCTGGCCTCGCCCCTGTCTGGGGTGTTGCTCTGGCCTCGCCCCTGTCCTGGGGTGTTGCTCTGGCCTCGCCCCTGTCTGGGGCTGTTGCTCTGGGCCTCGCCCCTGCCTGGGGTGTTGCTCTGGCCTCGCCCCTGCCTGGGGTGTTGCTCTGGCCTCGCCCCTGCCTGGGGTGTTGCTCTGGCCTCGCCCCTGCCTGGGGTGTTGCTCTGGCCTCGCCCCTGCGGGTGTTGCTCTGGCCTCGCCCTGCCTGGGGTGTTGCTCTGGCCTCGCCCCTGCCTGGGGTGTTGCTCTGGCCTCGCCCCTGCCTGGGGTGTTGCTCTGGCCTCGCCCCTGCCTGGGGTGTTGCTCTGGCTCGCCCTGCCTGGGGTGTTGCTCTGGCCTCGCCCCTGCTGGGGTGTTGCTCTGGCCTCGCCCCTGCCTGGGGTGTTGCTCTGGCCTCGCCCTGCCTGGGGTGTTGCTCTGGCCTCGCCCTGCCTGGGTGTGTTGCTCTGGCCTCGCCCCTGCCTGGGGTGTTGCTCTGGCCTCGCCACTGTCTGGAGTGTTGCTCTGGTCTCGCCACTGTCTGGAGTGTTGCTCTGGTCTCGCCACTGTCTGGGGTGTTGCTCTGGCCTCGCCCCTGCTGGGGTGTTGCTCTGGCCTCGCCCCTGTCTGGAGTGTTGCTCTGGCCTCGCCCTGCTCTGGGGTGTTGCTCTGGCCTCGCCCCTGTCTGGGGTGTTGCTCTGGCCTCGCCCCTGTCTGGGGTGTTGCTCTGGCTCGCCCCTGTCTGGGGTGTTGCTCTGGCCTCGCCCTGTCTGGGGTGTTGCTCTGGCCTCGCCCCTGTCTGGGTGTTGCTCTGGCCTCGCCCCTGTCTGGGGGTTGCTCGGCCTCGCCCTGCTGGGGTGTTGCTCTGGCCTCGCCCCTGTCTCTGGGTGTTGCTCTGGCCTCGCCCCTGTCTGGGGTGTTGCTCTGGCTCGCCCCTGTCTGGGTGTTGCTCTGGCCTCGCCCCTGTCTGGGGTGTTGCTCTGGCCTCGCCCCTGTCTGGGGTGTTGCTCTGGCCTCGCCCCTGCTGGGGTGTTGCTCTGGCCTCGCCCCTGCTGGGTGTTGCTCTGGCCTCGCCCTGTCTGGGGTGTTGCTCTGGCCTCGCCCCTGCCTGGGGTGTTGCTCTGGCCTCGCCCTGCTGGGGTGTTGCTCTGGCTCGCCCTGTCTGGGGTGTTGCTCTGGCCTCGCCCTGTCTGGGGTGTTGCTCTGGCCTCGCCCTGCTGGGGTGTTGCTCTGGCCTCGCCCTGTCTGGGGTGTTGCTCTGGCCTCGCCCTGCTGGGGTGTTGCTCTGGCCTCGCCCCCTGCCTGGGGTGTTGCTCTGGCCTCGCCCTCCTGGAGTGTTGCTCTGGTCTCGCCACTGCTCTGGGGTGTTGCTCGGGTCTCGCCCTGTCTGGGGGTGTTGCTCTGGTCTCGCCACTGCTGGGTGTTGCTCTGGCTCGCCACTGTCTGGAGTGTTGCTCTGGTCTCGCCACTGTCTGGAGTGTTGCTCTGGTCTCGCCACTGTCTGGAGTGTTGCTCTGGTCTCGCCACTGCTGGAGTGTTGCTCTGGTCTCGCCCTGTCTGGGTGTTGCTCTGGTCTCGCCACTGTCTGGAGTGTTGCTCTGGCTCGCCCACCTGGGAGTGTTGCTCTGGTCTCGCCACTGTCGGGGAGTGTTGCTCTGGTCTCGCCCGTCCTGGAGTGTTGCTCTGGTCTCGCCACTGTCTGGGGTGTTGCTCTGGCCCTCGCCACTGTCTGGATGTTGCTCTGGCTCGCCCTGTCGGGGTGTTGCTCTGGTCTCGCCCTGCTGGAGGTGTTGCTCTGGCTCGCCACTGCTGGAGTGTTGCTCTGGTCTCGCCCTGTCTGGGTGTTGCTCTGGTCTCGCCACTGTCTGGAGTGTTGCTCTGGTCTCGCACTGTCTGGAGTGTTGCTCTGGCCTCGCCCTGCTGGAGTGTTGCTCTGGTCCGCCACTGTCTGGAGTGTTGCTCTGGCTCGCCACTGTCTGGAGTGTTGCTCTGGTCTCGCCCTGTCTGGGGTGTTGCTCTGGTCTCGCCACTGTCTGGGTGTTGCTCTGGTCTCGCCACTGTCTGGAGTGTTGCTCTGGTCTCGCCACTGTCTGGAGTGTTGCTCTGGTCTCGCACTGCTGGGGTGTTGCTCTGGCCTCGCCACTGCCTGGAGTGTTGCTCTGGCCTCGCCCTGTCTGGAGTGTTGCTTGGTCTCGCCACTGTCTGGAGTGTTGCTCTGGTCTCGCCACTGTCTGGAGTGTTGCTCTTGGTCTCGCCACTGTCTG